GCCTCAGCCGGGCCAGGCGCCGCCCCGGGGCGGGCCGGCCCCGCGCATGCTCCGTGCGCTCCGCCGCGCCGGGGCCGCCGCCCTCCGCTCCGGGCCGCCGAGCGCCGCGGGCCGTCCCCGGGCTGAGCCGCTCCCGGGCCGGGCTGCCTGCACCGACCGCCCGCCCGGCCCGCCCGGCCTCGCCGGGCGCCACGGCAGCGGTGAGTGCGGCCGGCCGGGGGGAGCCGGGGAGGGCGGTGCGGGCGGCGGGCGCCTTTCCCGGGGAGCGGAGCGGAGCGCGGCGGGGGCGGCCCGGGGCTGGCCCGGCGGCCGCGCCCGCGGAGCGGAGCGGCTGCGGCCCTGAGCCGAGAGGAGCCCGTGCGGAACCTCCGCGTTCCCCCGATCCCCGCGGGTGCGGAACCTCCGCGTTCCCCCTGTGTCCCAATCGGTTCGGAACCGCTGGGTCCCTGTGTCCCAATGGGTTCGGAACCTCTGGGTCCCTGTGTCCCAGTGGGTTCGGAGCCGCTGGGTCCCCCTGTCCCAGAGGGTTCGGAACCGCTGGGTCACTGTCCCAATGGGTTTGGAGCCGCTGGGTTCCCCTGTCCCAATGGGTTCGGAACCGCTGGGTCCCTCTGTCCCAGTGGGTTCGGAACCGCTGGGCCACTGTCCCAATGGGCTCGGAGCCGCTGGGTCCCTCTGTCCCAATGGGTTCGGAGCCGCTGGGTCCCTCTGTCCCAATGGGTTCGGAGCCGCTGGGTCCCCCTGTCCCAATGGGTTCGGAACCGCTGGGTCCCCCTGTCCCAGTGGGTTCGGAGCCGCTGGGTCCCCCTGTCCCAATGGGTTCCGAGCCGCTGGGTCCCCCTGTCCCAGTGGGTTCGGAGCCGCTGGGTCCCCCTGTCCCAATGGGTTCGGAACCGCTGGGTCACTGTCCCAATGGGCTCGGAACCGCTGGGTCCCCCTGTCCCAATGGGTTCGGAACCGCTGGGTCCCTCTGTCCCAGTGGGTTCCGAACCGCTGGGTCCCTCTGTCCCAGTGGGTTCCGAACCGCTGGGTCCCCCTGTCCCAAAGGGTTCGGAGCCGCTGGGTCCCCCTGTCCCAATGGGTTCGGAACCGCTGGGTCCCTCTGTCCCAGTGGGTTTGGAGCCGCTGGGTCACTGTCCCAATGGGTTCGGAACCGCTGGGTCCCTCTGTCCCAGAGGGTTCGGAACCGCTGGGTCCCTCTGTCCCAATGGGTTCGGAGCCGCTGGGTCCCTCTGTCCCAATGGGTTCCGAACCGCTGGGTCCCTCTGTCCCAATGGGTCCCCCTGTCCCAGAGCGGTGCCCCGGTGCTCTGGTGCCCCTTAGCCGGGGGTGCGGGGCTGTGCGGGCAGCGCTGTCCGAGCCACGTTCGGTGGCAGGAGGAGCAGCAGTGAGGCAGCTCCGGTTGTGGCCGCCGTGGGTTTGGAGGAGTTGGGAGTCTCCGGAGCCCCGGGTGAGCGCGGACCGCCGTGGGCTCCCTGTGCCGGGGACATGCCGCTGCCTTCCGCTGCCGAAGCGGGACAGCTGGTGGTGTCCGGCTGTCGGTCTGGCAGCTGTTCCTCTGTGCGCAGGGATGCTTCGGGACATCTTCCACCCTCCTCTGCCCCTTCCCTCTCCTAGGGGAGGTAGGTGCCAGCCGTGGCTGGGTATCCATCACCCCAAAGGACACGCAGGGATATGGAGCAGGGAGCCTGGAAAGCTGTGCCGACTGTGCACCTTCTCCAGAAGCCTAGACCATAATTCTGCTCTGTGTGCGTTTGACAAAGTAATTGCTGTGTTGGATAATGGCTGGGAGCTGGAACTAAAGCTATCTTTAATTTGTCTTCCAGCCCAAACCAATCTATGGTTCTCTAACGGTGTTGAATTGGGATTTTTAAAATCCATGTATGAAGAAAGCCAGGACAAATCTGAAGCATATTAAGGGCTAATAATGTAGATTGAGAGTAGAAAGGCAACTCGGCAGTGGCTCAGTGCGGCAGGAGAGGATGGATCCAGCCCTGTCTAAACAGACACTCTCCCTGTGCTTAGGAGGATGCAGTGTCTGTTCCAAGGGATAAGCAGTGGGAAGTCATAATTTCAGGCATGTGTTGAATGCTAAATGCAAGAAAACTTCGGGATTTTTTTTTTTTTGGTGATTCATTTATTGGGGGAGGCAGATGGAAATAACTCAGACTCATGTCAGTGTTTAAACTAAACTCCAAAGAACCCAACTTTGCAGTTTTATTTCCGAGCGGAGTGGATGTACTTTGGTGCTGCTTTATTCGGGTGCTGCAGCTCGTTATTAAGTTCAGTTTTGCCCTTATAAGGGGACTGGGAGGCATTTCCTCCTGGCACTTGTTTTTAAAGCACACAGGAAGTTGCACCTTGATCTGGGTCTGTGTTAGGTGATACCAAGGCAGGTGCTTTGAAATGTGGGGCCAGCTCAGGCTGTGCTGCTCTGGCTGAGCCTACAAAACCCGTCAGGCTTGAGATGTTAAAGTTTGTCATCGCAGGCAGATGCTACAAATACTTTTTTGTCAGCACATTTTTGCTGATTCAGTTGTTAAATATGTTACTGATCCAAGTGTCACAGTATCTGCAAGCTGTCCCAAAGCCTGGTGGCACAGCGTGTCTCTGGCCTCTGGGGAAGGTGATGTGAAAAGCTTGTAAAAAGCCACGGAGAGTGGATTTAAACTTAGAATATAATAGAACATATTCTAGAATATAAACACAAAACAATCGAATATAAGCACAAAATAGGAGTGATTTTTAAGTGTGTGAACTCCTGCACAGTTATTCAGAATTAATTGCAAAGTGGCCTTTTTTTTTTTGAGAGGCAGCTTCTGTAAATGTTGAGTTGTTTTGGTATGTTCAAATTGTCTATTCAGTGATTTTAGTTACAAAAAAAATCAGGAATATTTAATGCAAAAACTTTGGAAAGCAAACCTGTATCACTGCAAAGCAAAAAGCTGAAATGCACCTGAAGAGTCACTCAGGGGGTAAAAATCAATATTCCTTTTAAACTCCTATTTCCCTTGGTCAAACAGAGTCTGCAGTTTCAAGTTAGTTTAATTCTTTTGCCTTACCTCTTCAGGGCTGGAATTAAGGCAGGTTTCTTTTAAGTGGTATAAATTCAAGAAGTTTAGACAGACACTTCTGAAGTGGTTTAGTCTTAAAAATAAAGACAGAACTCAGAGAAATGAATTATCTTTTTTTGTGTGGAGGGGATAAATCTGTTTTCACAGGTAGCATCCTGCTGGCTTCACCTCTTTCCCACCACGTAACTCCCCCTGCTCCCTGGATTTGGAGGTGAAACCCCTTTTTCTTCAACTGAACTTTGCTTGGCACCTTCTGATGCCTGACCTGGCTTGTGGAAGAGGCTCAAAATGAGGAAGGGACCTTCAAAATCCAGCAGGTGGATGGATAATCCTTGTGTTGGGTGGGAATTGCAGCAGAAGGAGCTGCTCTGTTCCATAAAGGGGAAGGTGTTTGCATTGTTTGGGGAGGCCAAAGCTTTCACACATAAAAGCAAACCCTTAGGACTGCTTTTATCGAGGTGTGAAAAGGGTTGTTGTGAGAATTTCTGACCCAGGAAGGAACTTGAGAAGCCAGATTGTGGAGGGAACACCGAGATGGGGCTCGGTTCCTGGTTTGTCTGGTGTCCAACAGCAATTAAAAATGATAAAAGTGTTTTCTTCTGGGTGAAAAACTGGCAATATTCACGTTGTTCTTTTTCAGCCTGGCTAACAGTTTGCAATTCAGGCATTATTCCTGTAAACACACTCAAGAGTTGCTTTAGATCTTTGAAGCACTTAAAGTGCAATTAGATTTCAGGTATTGGTGATGGCAAACACTTGCTAAATTGATAGAAAATGGCTTTTACAGTTCAAGCACATAATTCAGGCAGTTAATGCTGAGAGCCTGCCTGCAATAAAGCTTTTCATGGTTGATGCAGCTCGGTTTTGCTGGCAGGGTGGGACAGAAATGCTTGAACCTCATCAAAAAGGAAAGTGGAGCTTTAAAAAAAAATCAGCATTTTGGGGTTTTGGCAGCTCAATTGCCACTTGCACCTCTTGCTGTAGCTTCTGTGCAGGAATTGAAGTGACAGATGAAAGGGGGCTGCTCTCTCACTTGATTTCTTTAGCAGCACTCTGGGGCTCCCATCCAGGATTTGTTTCACATAGATCCTTCCAGAAAACCAAAACAGTGCTGAAAACTACTGCGAGAAGTTGCTGAGGGTTCTCTTGAGCAAAATGGCTGCAAGTTTCTCTTGACTGCAAGTGGAGAGGAGGAAGTATAATTTAGTGGTTTTAATGTCCTAGCCTGTTGCAGACAGGTGGATTTTTAAGGAACATGCCCTGACCATTTTCTTCATGCTGAAGGTCTTTATAAAACTGCAAACAGTTTTGCTGGCTGGAGTAATTATTGGCTGTTTTTTTTTTTTTTCTTTTCCCCTTGAACTGGTTATATAAATGTAACATAAGTTGCATAACTGACAGAAAAATTGAGCTACAGGAAACTGGGAGGGCAGCCTCGATCGACATGGAAAAAGTAAAGTCTGCAGCAGTTACTCTGCATATCAATAATGCCTTTTACACAGTGTGGGAGGATTGATAACGGTGATATTAACATGGTTCTCTGCATGGGGTGTGATTATGATTAGGCACTGAAACTGCTGGCACATGAAATTATTCTGTTTAATTTATTTTAGATTTCCTTCTCCCCCTTCTGAGATGTAAAAGGTAATTTAGGAAATAAAGGAAAAGAGGTGGAAGTGGAGGGAAAAGCAGAGGATTTGTGCATTATCTTGAACTGTGGAGAAAGGCAGTGGTGAAAGCCTGGGGGAAGAAAAAAAAAAAAGAGTTTTTATATGAGGAGGAAGCAAGCTGCAGAGTAAGGTGGAAATAAGCAGAGAGTAGGAAAATTGTTGAATTAAAATGGTTTGGTGTTGCTGTTGGTCCTGTTTGGATCTGGTTGCCAACAGTTTTCTGGAAATAGCAAGAAGGAACCCTTACAAGGGGATTTGCTTTGGGAAACTCATCTGTCATAAATCCATTTATTTGGCAGCTTTGCTTTATGATAGATTTTACTGCTACTCCTTTGAAGCAGGCCTGCTGCATAAGGGAAGCTCTGCTAATAATGGGAATTAATTCAGTGTTTAATACAGTATTCTCCGAATTTTGAAGCGTGCGGGGTTTACTGTGAGTCAGGAGTTTGGCCTCAG